ACTTCATCTCATCACACAGGCATTTTTTCATCCCACATCATCACAAGAAAAAGTGAGTACAGTACAAGAAGGTACTTTGAGAGAGACCTAACTTTTTTTTACAGAACATTGTTATAACTGCTCTATTTTATTTTTGTTGTTAAGAACATGATGGCTTTTTGAATTATAAATTATAAATTATTTATAAATTTATAAATTAAACTTTATCACAGGTATGTATATATAGGAGGAAACACAGTATATATAAGGTTTGGTACTATTCATGGTTTTAGGCACCCACTGGGGGTCCTGGAACCAATGTATGCCCCACAGATGGGGGGGAGGAATTACTATATATTAATATGTTGGTTACTTAGCATGAGGCTTGGCACATCTTAAGTGCTCAGTAAAATAGTAACTATTTTAAATATTTATGATTGGGAAGATTTCATTCAAATAGCAGATACTGCCTGAGTTAGCCTGTAAAGTATGAATAGAATGATGACATACAAGAACCAAGGCACCGAGCAGAAACCATCAGTTAGAAAACAAACTAAAGCACGAAGAGTATTCAGCAGGGGGCTAGACCCTAAGGGAGCAGCAAGAAATAAGACTAGCCAAGTTCACATGGAAGTTGGTGTAGAGAGGCCAAAATGTCCTCTACAACCAGGCAAGTCTGATCATGTAAATGCGACTGAATACTATTTCACTAGAAGACTTCATGATTGATCTGACTATAAAAAAAAGTCATTTCTACAGGAATGATTACTCACTTTGTGCAACCAAAGACTGCATAAAAGATGCAAAATGAAAGAAGAGTATAACATAAATTCCCTACATTTTGTCACAGAAAACTGAATGCAGTAGACAGTACAAATTTAATTCTGATTGGCATAGTCAATTAATCCCATAATTTGTTGTAAAGTGTATCTACTTTTTCTTTTTAGAAAGACAAAAATATTGAAACCTCATTTATGTTACAGAAACGGAAAAATGGGCCTAGAGGTTTCAGCAGCTGTGTGCTGTGATGACCAATCTTAAATACTCAACCAGACAGTTTCAAAACAACTGCTTTCTGACCCTCTAACCTTCAATGTTTTTTAACTTACTCACTAAACCAGGAAACCTGGTTGACTGTGGATCCTCTGTCATTAAAAAGATCTATAAACCCCCAGAATATTATACTATTGCATTTACCCACTTGAGCAATTATGCAGCAGAAATAAATGAGGGAAAGTAAGGGGGGAAAAAACCCCTCTAGTTTCTAGTTGAGCTTTCCTTATTTAAACTGCACATTAAAACATATTTTGTGCAACTGCAAAATTTCAGGTCTGTAAATATGCTGGTTTTACCCCTAAGAAGCTTCGTGACTTTAAGCAAGTTTGTTGGGCCATGATTTCTAAAAGCACTGGCCTGGTAGATCCGTAAGATCCCCTCCCAGCTGACGAGCTACAGAATTCTAAAGGTCAAACAAGTCTTTTCAGAAAATAGTATTTAATTCTCGAGGGAGGAGGAAATACATATTAATGCAACTGTGTGGCCTACATAATAAAGTTTAGATGTGTTAAGCTGAGAACGATTTAGAGTATAGTTCTATTAAAATGATGATAAATGAGAAGAGGATTAATATTTAACATCGATCATTTGAAACAGTAACAGGTAGAGGTAGAAACAGTGTTACCCATATAAACCCAAAGATCATTCAGTTTGATTTCTTAAACAAGGAAGATTCTCTAAGTCAGAAAAGCAGCATTAACAGATGCAAACATATTAAAGATGAATTATAACAAAAAGCTGCAGGATCAAAGCTGTTAGAAAAGACAGACAGCAATGATTAACACAAGTGTTTTCACCTTCATAATTCTTACGCGTTTTGTAGTCTCTAAAGAATGCAGCCTTCTCTAATTGCTCCTTCCCTCCTCACCCCATGTGAAAGTGTGAGTGTCTTCACGACTGTCATGGCAAGAAGTTTTAAAGAGTGCTCTTAGCTTCTAGTCTTATCTTTGAAAGCGGTCACTTCATTTAATCAGCACCAGGAAGGTTCCTATTCCCCTTGTCACCTTCTCCCAACACAGAATGACAAAATCAAGTTCTACTATAACCAATCAACTCTGAAATATTAGCAAAGAGTAGAAATCGGAATTTTCTACTTACTTTCCTTAGTATCTTAGGAAAAAATAGCATGATTTTAAAATCAAAATTGTCTTTTTCTAAATTGGGTTCTACAGTATTCTACCACAGACCTACAAATTTGGTATAGTTCTTCAGAAATTCACCCTGGAGATATTTTAAAAAGAAAGTGGAATAAATTTCACTCTTTCTTACAGGGGGGGAAAAAAAAGAGATTCCATAGATTTCCCTCAGAGTCTTCATTTCTCTGTAAATAACAATAATGTTTTAAAAAAAGAAGGAACATAAGCAGTGGCAATCATATTTAAGGATGAGAAGGAAGTTAAATTTGCCACAACCCCTCCCAGAAACGTATGATGACTGTTTTGTAGGGTAGATCTGCAATCGGCACAGAATTTAAGCCCCCAAAGTTGTAAACAAAATATAGAGTGCTCTTTTATTCGTGACATGTCATGAACAAATTACCAAAATGTGTTTTCTCCTCAGGTGTCAGTTTTTCCCTCTTTTAGTGACTGATGGTTCCCAGTGTTATTACAGAAACAGATTGATCTTTTTAATGAGCCAGTTTAATAGACTCCAAAATCTCACCGTGGCTGCTCATCCATGTCAGACCATATGTACCAACAAAACATTCAGTAAAACAAAAAAAGCTCTGCTGTCAGACAGCTCCATACTCTATAAAATTTCATATAGTAGATCTGGATATACAGATAAATAACCAGAGGAGAGGAAAATGCATATGCAAACAAGATGCAGAAAATATATGCAAAAAAGTACTGCAGAGACCCATATTTTCTTGGCTCTGATCATATTCCCACAAGATACAAATGTATTTACACAACATGTTCTCATTACCCGTCCTCCTAACTCTAAGGAAATCCATTTGCCATCCTTCCATTAAAACACACACTTCAGGGTTCCACTTGAAAAAAGAATGTTCCAGTCAAAGAGCAACTGTGTGAATTCTGGCCTCCAACAACTAACTGCCTCTGATAACTGAAGGGAGAACAAGACTGGCGGCTCTTTTAAGAAAGTTCCACCTGATCAAACTCAAATGTGCATGCACATGCAGCTACAGATCACCAGAACAAAAATGCTGATTATCTGTGGAATATACACAAAGTTAACGTATCAGCGTTAGCACGCTGCTCAGGGCTCGCCACAGCATCGTCCAAGCAAAGCCTACAGGCACAACACCTTCAAATACAAAACATTGGGAAAGAAAATCAGTGGGGAAGTGCCTGGGATACAGTGAAGGGAATGGAACTGTTGGGTCTGCTACTGAGCAGTTGGGGTTTCTAGAACACTTCCAATTTTGCCTGTAGGATTATCTTCACATTTATCACAGCTATCCAGAGCTTTTCCTGGTACCCTATCCTCTGCCCAAATAAATGTTTTCTTCCCAACTGTCCATCCAGTCTCTAATTCTTTTACATTATCCTTGAAAAACGGAGCTGCAACACCTCCATATGTGCACACAGTACGGGATTTCCTGCAGTGTACAGGGGTTAGCAGCAGACAGGAAGGCACGTGTGAATCATCTATCCTAGGGCCGCTTCTTGGTTTTCAGTATCACGTGGATATGCCATTCAGACACCTGGATTAAGCAGTTGCTTTTCAAAGCTAAAGCACTAAATGCTTCAATATGAAGAAGGAAAAATGGTTTGCAAAAACGAGAAAGCAGCCCTGTTGGCAGGTCATGTTTAGAGGCAGGTCTATAGCATGTCAGAAGTAAACTAATGTTTAACCTTTTGCTTTTGGATTTTAAACTATCAAAATGTCGTCCTATGTTGAGAGGGAAAAAGTGCCTGAGACTATAGCATAAAAACTGCTTAACAGAGGATTATGTAATAACTGTATGTAAACTGGCTGGATTTTAATAACATTCTGATTTGCAAAGTAGCTAATACATTTAAGGGTAGCTAAGTCGGTCACAGATAGATGTCTCTGAGTAGCTCCAAGGATCATAAGCTCCCATGAATCTGGAATGTGATTGTGCCAGAATGTTAACCTCTCAAAGGCTGTTTCACTCATGCCTGATAAAATGCAGACACAGGGTGGATAAGTAGAGAAAGGAAACAAAGCATAGGGCAAACACGTTTCTGAACACGGTTTCATTTCAATACAGTTCCATATTTTTACAAATATGACGCAAGACGCTGCTCATGAGACTTTATATCCTTATATTAGAAAATATTTGCAAATGGGGATGAGGCACTCAAAAAATTATTTTAATAGGTACATGGGAAATTTCACAGAATACACCTTATTCAACAGCTACTTTGTAGGGTTGGAGAAGGGGCTTTCCTTTACAATTCTCAGAATTCTGAGCTCTGAGAGCAGCGTGCCTGTTGGAATGAATATTGCCTGATAAATTGTTCAACAAAGGTGCCATCTACTAGTTCTCTGCCTTAACGCTAACCTTCACTCAGCTCGTCTAGCTTCCCAGAAGTTTTCTCTCAACTCCCCTAAACCCCAATTCAATAGCTACTGCACTGCGTTCACTGGGCAACCCACAAAGGCCAGCTTTCAAAATCGTCCTGTTCTGAGGAAACTCGGAAGGGCGAACTTCCTCACACGGGAAGGGCAAAATACGTGGTTGGGTTGAATTCTGTAACAAGTGAGAATTTTCATCTTGACTGTGTTTCTAACAACCATGGGTGGCACTGAGCCCATCCGAATGTTATTCACCCCTTTTCCTTTACTAATAAGGCGGCCAAGATGAACCTGCACAACAGCCTGACTGACACGGGCTTGGTGACCTCCCAGGCCAGCATGAGCGACCCGATGGCCTCTGGGGCGGCTCGCTCAGCACTTCAAAAGCAACAGGTCTTCGAAGCACAGACGGGAGGAAAAGGCCACGGTGGGTCCAGGGCCCTCCTCCCTCTCACCTGTCTGGAGTTCGCCTCTTCCCGTTTTCGTTCACATCGAGAAGCAGCTCTGAGGAGTCAACAGGTGAGGTGGTGCTGGCGTCCAGAAGCAGCTGTTCATGCTGGGCGAGGTACTGGGCAGGGTTCTGTTTGGCCAGCCTTGCGCAGTGGAGGAGCTCGCGCTGCAGCAGGGGCAAGTTGGCCTGTGGGGGCATGACAGGAATGAGAGGTGGACCCGAAGGCTCCTGAAAACCTGTGGACCCGGTCCGCTTTTCAAACACTGGCAGAGCACACGACCCAGCTCAGGGAGAATGTCATCGAATGCACGCCAGAAGCCTGAGTCCCAGGCACAATCCCCAGGACTGGGCTACGGCGTCTGCCTCGCCCTGCGCCTAGATTGCCCCAGCTGTGAGGTGTCTGCCCTCTGTGGGCCACCTCAACCATCTTGCCTCAGTGCCCGCTGACTATCATGGGAGTGGCACTTAGTTACTTTTAAAGTCCCTTCATATTTAAACATAATGGGATCAAAAACTCAAGGCATCAGATTCCAACTCCGCCCATGGGCAACTTTTGCTGTCCACAAGGAAGAGGGAAGGCCCGAGAAATACGTACACAGTTCAATTAACCTCAAGGTGAGCTCCCTACCACATTCAAAACTATCTAGTGACTTACCCAGGCAAAACAGGTTAATCCCATGAAATATCTTTGGTCAACTATTAATTTTTCAAAGGAGAAAATATAGAGATGAACATAAAGACGGTTTCTAATAATCATCAGATTTATACAACATTGAGGTAATGGCCTGAGTTCGGTCAGATATCCCAGCTGGAATTCATGCACAAAGCAGCAAATACGACTACAAAGGCAATCTGCTTTCTTTGTACCAATCCTTATTCTGAGGAAGGTCTGCAGTCCTTAACATCAGAAGAAACCTATGTACCCATCGTCCTCACTGCACACCCAGCCTAGCACTTTGAAAAAAGACTCTTGGAACATGCCTGTTTGTAGATAATTCCGGCAATCTCAAAAGTAATAAAAAGGAAAGAGATAATTTCACACATAGTAAAGCATTAAAATAAAAATCTTAGAATTTTACTCTGAAAAGTAAACCTACACTGACATTATAAATCTAGGTTGTTGCTGTTTTCTCTTTTCTATTTTTTACCTTTTGAGCGGAGGGCGAAGAGAGAAGACAGTATGGAAGGGCGAACAGCACTCACTCATCCCCAATAGCACTTAAATCTCCAAATCAAGGAAAGATCAATAACATAAATCTTGCAACACAAGGATTTCATTTGTAGGAACAAGGTGCCAACTGCCCTGATTAACCCATTGAGTAAAAAAGTCTTTCTGAATATAGGAGGTGCCAGTTACCTCAATCTTTGGGCCCAAGAGCCTTAAAAAATGCCCTGTGGAGTCTCAGGCACAGGCACTGGGGTCGGACTCGCACCTCAAATCCATTTTCAGAGTATTAATCAAGGAACTATCTCATAATAATACCAAGGCAATATATGCTGCCCAAGGTATAAAAGACTAGAGTATTTGCTAATGATAAGCACATACCACACATTGTAACAATGGAAA